TCATCCTTCTTCCAAAATCGCGAAAATCGGTTAAAGTTACCCCCAAGTAAGTGTCAAGTCCTCGACTCGAGCGGATCATTCCCATTCTCTGTCACAGACATGGGTAAAGGTACACCTACGCGTGTAAATTGACAATTAACACTCTCGATTAACTCTTGATATCTATTTTACTTTTACCATCGACTCGAAATCCCGCGAAAGCGTCATAGCTCCCCAACTTTCTGCCAAAATCGGGACAACCGGTTAAAGCAACCCTAGTAAGTGCCATGTGCTCGACTCGAGCGAATCATTGCCATTCTCTGTCATAGGCATGGGTAAAGGTTTCCCCAACTTTCTGCCAAAATCGGGACAACCGGTTAAAGCAACTCTAGTAAGTGCCAAGTGCTCGACTCGAGCGAATCATTGCCATTCTCTGTCATAGGCATGGGTAAAGGTATAGTTACGCGCGTAGATCAATAATTAAGTTTCTCGATTATCCCTTGACCATTATCTATTTTACTTTTACCATCGACTCGAAATCCCGCGAAGGCGTCATAGTTTCTCACCCTTCTTCCAAAATCGCGAAAATCGGTTAAAGCAACCACAGTGACAATCAAGTGCTCGTCTCGAGCGAATCGTATCGATATAGCTAGAAATATTCACGGGTTTCGATTAGGGTTCGAAACAAATCTATCGTCCAGAAGGGATCGACGATAATCAGCCGGTCGAGATAGATTTACAGGAACACAGAGGGTCACTGGAACAAGACAGGGACAAGAGGTGCTGCGGGGATACAGAAAGACGGACGAGCTTTCAAAGGGATAATCGTTCCGGCAGAGTTCCGAACGGCTTTAATGCGATTGACTCATTATCGCACGGATCTTGCTCCGCGAACGGAATTATCGCGGATATCCAGTTTACTGCTCTTTGCTAAATTAATTACGCGCGGCAAGGCGTCCCGCCCCCGACTTCTCCAATCCGATCAACTTTGACATCCCTTTGCATCCTGTTTCACCCGGATGCTGCCTATGGAATCCGCTGCAATTTCATCGATTTATTTCCACTCCGACGCTGATACCTCTAACCGTGACGCCCCGTTTCACAAATATCCGTGGGTCCCCATGATCGGTCATTTTATCGGTAATTTTGTCACCAATTTTCTGTCACCATTTCACCGGACCTCGACGTGGACCACGATCTTTGTTTTCTGCACGGTTCGATTCAAGACACCATCTCGGTTCTTTATTTCGGGATACGGTTTCTTGAGAATATACAGATCTGTCAGAGATAAGAGTCTATTTTTGAATCGTGTCACGAGAGAGTCGATTCTGCGAACTGAAACCGAGGTCCAACTTGAAATAAAGTTCTATTGTTGGTCACGGGTTAAATATGGTCGGTATAAAAACTGTCAGTCGATTTCACGATTCCTCACACTTCCTAAGAAACGTTTCACGCGAAATCTAATTTCGACTTTTGTCTACACTCTATTTCCTGTCAAACCCGGATTTCACCTTTATCTCGATGTCAACATTCTACTTCCGCGATGGAAAACCTCGAACGCTATTCCCGTAGAGATCTGCACAGTTCACCCGATTTCGAATTAAATATTTACCAAAAATTTTGCCAAATCGTGCCACGCGAGTCCTGTCATCCGATAAGACAAGTGTCTGTCAAAATTCAATCTCGCTTTCAACACGAATCGATTCTAACCGTTTGCTAACTGCAAAAATCTCGATTCGATTTAGCTTATTTTAATTAGAAAATTCGCAACAATTTTTAACCTAGTTCTTTCTCTACGTTCAAATCTTTCATCGGTGGCACGTGTGCGCGTATATTTCGATGGTCAATGTGAATGTTGGATGAGCACGGTGGAAAAATTCGGCGATATTTTCCGTCGAGGTCTGCGGTTCTCTGGGTTGCGCGACTTGTCGTGGAAAAGGGCGGAAATTAAAGAGAATCGCAAAGGGAAATCGATGGATCCTTTGTCCCGGGCAATAGTCTGGCCGCGTAGGAAACGGGGACAAGGGGGTGGAACGAGACAGCGGGGAAAATGACACGGAAAGCCGACTACGAGAGTGGATTAGCGAAACGTAATTTCACGACCGTTCCAATTTTACGTGCTATTTCGATCCGCGGAAGCCACCGATTACGTATTCCGTGTCTCTGAAGGACGACCCAAAGATGAGCACCCGTTGTGCGGCTCGACGTGATCCGCTGTGCTCGAAATTTATTTAGAATTTCTCCACGAGCGCGAATATATTTTCCCCATATATCCTCTTTTAGCTACTCTCCTGGAATTTTATTTCGCTCGCAGAAACTTGCTTTCCAGTAGCACAGGGATAATTAGAGATCGATACGCGCGATGGCGGAAAATAGATGGTTTCGAGACATTGAGACACTTAAGCTAAGGCTATTAATCGATGACCAAATACTAGCAACGGAGACCTGATTAATCGGTTCGACGTGCTTCGAGATTAATGGATCTCGCTGTTATTAATCCGACTATTTCGATTCTGGGTATATCTTCGAACCACTTTTGTACCCTTCTTTTAATTAATGTAGGAATACTTTTGATTGACAAATATGAGGAATAAGAGATATCGGTTTATTCCAATAAGTATTTATTGTCAGCTAAAAGAGACTTAGGAGTAAGGCTAAATGAACTAAAAGATTAAATTAATAACTGCTATGATCACGCAAGTAACACTCACATCGACTCTTCCTCAAATTCCGTAAAGGACTGTCTTAACTCTTTGGTTTACAACCACGAGTGAGACTCGTGGTGAGGAATTTGGGTCATAAGCGAAAACCACGAGTCTCACACGTGGTAAGGAATTTGCGCCATTAACAATACGCAGTGAAAGTCGTGATACTTAGCCAGGTACTCTAAACACTCAAACGCATTCCAAGCTTTCGTTCTTTGTTCGCAGTCATAAATATCCCGTTCGTACAATCCTTGCACTAAGTCACTCATCTTTCCACGTATACTCCAGATATCACCCTGAATATTCGGTCTGAACCCTAGACCGCTATTTATTGTCCATCATCATCCAGGTAGGCCTAAGTGTTCCCTTGCATTCACTCTCAAATCCTAGCAATCCCACGTTAATTATTAATTCGAAATGCTGGAGACATGTCGCGTTCCATCATCGCGAAGACATAATCGGCCATAATCTGGAAATGAAATTAAAATACGCACACTGGAACGCACCTAACCCGAAGCTCTCAAAGTTCGCTAACGATAAATTGCACGTTGCACGAAAGATTCTCGTTAATCGCACCGCTTGCTCGTCCCAGCGACGTAAATTGTTTGAAACGAGCACGCAGGGTACGCGATCGTCGCGTCTATTTCCGCGGGAACTCGGATCCCGGGACCGCGTGTTCGGAATTACCGCATGAACGCGGGAAGAACGCTTTCTGTTTGAACGAGGAATTGCCGGTTTCCCGAAACGGAGGCCAGCAGGAACGACGTTAAAACTCGGGCCACAGGGAAATTAAGTAATCGTTAAATCACTGCCAGCATCCGAAATGAACGTTTTCAGGCCGGGGCAAGGCTTCAATTACTGCATCACGAAATGACGGATAATTTCTGTTATACCGGGGCCTGGTACGGTTCCGAAGATTACGTGTATTACGAGCAGAAGCCGTGGACCAAGATTACTTACCTTTATCCAATTACTCTTGTACAGGTTCAACGAGGAGAAAGTTGCCTCCCCTCTGAACGCTGCCAAGGACTTACCTCTCTTTTGCGCTCGTTAGCGATGCTTCCAGGTACGCGGCTTTATAAAGGCGAGTACTTACGACGTGTCTGACGGTGACGCGGCTCGGAAATGCCAGTTTCGATGAAAAATTGACAGCGCCGAACTTACCACGAGTTTGGAAACTCCTCGACTCCTCGGTGTTGATCACTCCTCGAGGTAAAGATTAGAAGGAGCAGCTCGATGATTAGACATCTGTTGCAAGGGATGTTGGATCTACGAGTTGCGAAGTTGAGCTGGTTTTGTACAAATTTTTCATTTTATGGTGAACATGTCGAAGGAGGAAGTTAGGGAGGAACAGCTCAGATTCACTCGTAGATGCAACCATCGCATTCGCGCGTTCTCAACGTTGAACTTACCATGACTGACAAGGATAGTGCAAGTCCTTCGAGTGACAGATTTAGTTGAAACTTTGCAGGTTTGTAGATTTAGTCATCTAGTTCAAGAAAATGTACGATTATAAGGGCAATTACTCGATAGTTTTTGAAGTATTTATGATTGGAGTTTCATTATTGCTTTAATTAAATATCGCCGTGGTCTAATGGTGATATCCGAAAATTTCCACAATGGTGGCAATTCTTGAATGTAGTCGGTAACCCACAATGCCACTTGATAGCTATCGATAACTATTTGGAAGAAATTTCTAGTTAAAAATAAGAAAGCTTCAACTTTTTGTACTCGAAAGTCGCCATTTAATCGGGTTCTAAAAATCGACGATAATTAATATATCAAATTTAAAATTACCCAACGATGCGTGGAATGTCGAAATAAAATAATTCTACATCTTAATTTGCAAAATACCGTCGACTTTATGGCAGAATATCTTCGAATTACTATTTTTCTCTGACGTAGTATCTCAAAATCTATCGAGTAGTTGTCCTTATAATGCCCTTATAATTTTCTTGAACTGGATGACTAAATCTAAACCCTGTAACGTTTCAACTAAATCAATGACCCGAAGAAATACACTCTCCTTGTGAGCAAACGAGGCACGAATGAAATAAGTAAATTACTTATTTTCGCTGAATCAAGATAAATTTGATGACAATCTTCATTCGCTGAAATCCTTGCATCAAAGAATCCCCATAGACAGACCTCTCTATTACCTCGTGGAGGAAGAACGTCGTGAAAGGTATCACGTCGACTTCTTCCCAAACTTTCCTGCACGTGGAACCGCAAACTCGGTTCGACAGGGGATTCTACTCGCTGAAGACACGGAAGCAGAGCCGAGAAAGGGCAGAGCAGACACGGCGGGATCCTTACCTCTTTGATCTTCTCGCGGCGCTGATTAGTCACGTCATCCAGGGGTGGATTAGGCGGTTTAATGACGTAGGGTCCGGGAACGGGAACCGGCGGGGGTCCGACCGCGGACGGCTCGGCCTGTTTGTGCTTCGAGTCCACCCGTCGATCCTTATCTTCGGGTTTCGGCTCGTCCTGGCCAGGAATCACGTTGCTCTGCACCCAGGCGGGGTTCAGTTGCTGTTCGTTTCCGGCGCCACGCCACGCTCCACGACGTTCGCCAGGTCGCGACGCGTGACGAACGTGCCGGTCAGAAGGACGATCAGTATCACGGACAGGAGTCCGCTGATCGCCAGCCTCTGCATTAGCCGCATCTCGTCCAGGCACTTGCTGCACTCCCACAAGCCGCCCGGAGTTGCAGACGTTGCGCTCGTATTGACGGAGCTGTGTGTACAATATTATTTTCTCTTTGGTAGCTTTCGCATCGGATCGTGTGCGCGCTAGCTTTAGACAGAGTTAGAGCACGCGAAGAGTGTCGTTTCATGGAAATTTTTGGGGGCAATTTAGCACGTTCCATTTGTAAGAAGGAGACGTTTGATGGAATTTTTTCGAGTAGGAAAATTAGGATTTTATTGGAGTAATCGAGGTAGACTTTTCCTAGGAGAGGTTGGAAGAGTAGAAAGTGTCACGAATAACGAATTAAAATAAATATTCGATTATGTAAGGATAGGAAATATTACGTATTTTATTGCAAATTATACTTCATTCGTTAATTTATAATAAATTTATATAAAATTTTTATACACCGAGATGGGTCACGTTGAAATATTCTATACCGTACACTATTTTCCTTTTTAAATCGGAAATTGGACGAAAAAGACCGTAATGGGAAAGAAAAAAAAGAAATTTTATATACAATTTTTATACACCGAGACAGATCACGCTGAAACAGTTTATACCGTGCATTATTTTCCTTTTTAAATCGGCACTTAAACGAAAAAGACTGATAAAACAGAAAAAAAGAAGGAATTTTTCAAAAGTAAATGAAAAATCGGAAAATGTTTCGGCGTGGACAGAGAGAGAGCAACGCGTAGAAGGATTTGTGCCGGATCCATGGAAGGTGGAAAATAAGGAACGCGAAGCTCGCAATCGACGATTAGCTTTCGAGTCGACCGAGCCGGGGGTGAACAGCGTGAAATCAGTCGGGGGTGCGAACACACCGGAGGCACTTACTTGCGAGCCACCTGTTGTGGGTAATTCGAGCACCCCGACGAGTGCTCAATGGTCGTTTTAAGTAGCCTTCAAACGACGGCGGCCGCGCGTTTTCAGCTCGCGTCCCGCTGCTTCGATCTCATCGACTCGGAATTCTCGCCAGCTGCGAAGAAGAAAATTCACTGCGTTCAGGGACAAGGCGCGGAGAAAACACCTTTCTTCTTATCCCGTGATGGTTGTCTAGTGAGTTTGACTCGCTTTCGTCGAAATTCGCGTTACTTCGACGACGATAAATGCAAAATTTAGATCGATCCTCTCGCTATTTTCTTTCCCTCGTCGCCATATTGGCTCGTATATCGCAATTGCTATTACTCCGTGATCATCGATTAAATTGACACTAACATATCACGAAACCCTCGAGAGCTTAGAATTATTTGAAATATTCATGAAAAAGAATAAAGCAGCACGTAACAGGGTGCATTTTCGTTTCGTTGGTAAAATTATTTTCAGTCATTCCACCGTGTTACGTGTGGCTGTAGCAAAGAGAGAGGTTATGTATAACGAATTCATTTCGTTCCTAATTAATTTACATATTGCGTGTAATTTCAGTAGCTGCGGACATTACAAGATTTTCCAATTGGAAATTATTTCAATACGCCGTGAGGATAATTAATCTCCCACGTTAAGGGGATTTCTTCGATGTTTGTAATCAGACGGAATTAAATACAGATACGAACAATTGACGCCATTGTGTCGAAAATCGACTCCCTGACGAGACGTTTGAATTAAATATGAAATAATTACCGCGGTCGGATTTTGCTGTTTTATTGCAATTGTTCACGGAAATAAAGCAAAGTTTTGCCGACGGAATAAAGCGGTCCTCACAACGAGTTCTAATTTATTCGTGGAAAAATCGAGACGAAATGGGGATTCTACGGGGGAACGTTGCGCGGGAAATTTAAATAGGGAGAAATATTCGGGTATCGAGAGACAATGGTGATTGTTAAGCCACGCGAGGATGTAATTGTTCAGCCATCAATGAAACGCATTTTCGTTCCAATATGCATTAAACGCACCGCGCGTTATGTGCAGTTTCAATGACACCGCAATCTCGATTATCGGCCGTGGGTGATCGCGTTTTCGAATTAACAAATCAGTGCCTGTTATCAATTTAACTTTTAATTAAGGACAATGCCACCTGCGTACTCGCGCTGGCCTGACGCACGCGAGCATAACTCTTTGTTGCAACGCGGGTACACCGTTCCGATGCTACACGCGGCCAGATTTCAATTCGAAACGGGCTAACGAAAATAATTGCCCATTTTTATTAGCCCCGTGCATTAGCGTTAAACGCCACGGGCACGCTGTTAAAAGCAATCGAAAAATCTTTACCGAGTAACACGCTGTAAAATAATGGCATTTCTATAATCGAGTCGGGCAAGTATTAGTATCTTATCCCGATACAGTGTATCGGTGTAATTTAATACGTGTTATATCGGTGTAATTTAATACGTGTTAAAGTAATCATTGTCTAATCATCGCGGAGTTACAAGGATTGTCCGATAAATTGAAATTCCTGGAAGAAAAGGGTGTAGACGAGGATAAACAGAAAATGAAAGTTGATATTTCGCTAATTATTAAATTTCGAAATTCCATATGTTGAAAAGATAAGTTTAGTTATGTACAAAAATTAATATAAGGTGTGAGTAATTAGTTTGGAAGATCTAGATATTCCGAGAACGAATGTTTATATGAATATTAGATGAAAATTGGGGGTTTAGGCGAATTGCGTCACGTACCCCCTTGACATCCTCTCAGTCAATCTCAGTCAGATTGATATACCTTTCTCAATGGTTATTATTTAGCATATTTCTTTCAAAGTTAGTGTTACGCGGTGCATATGGAACATCTTACCTTGAAATACCTAACTGAGCAATGAGGTCGATATTTCTAAGGTTTATAATACGATGGTATAGACAGACTATTTTAGAGTTAGACTTTAGGTATATTGGGGGAGAATGAAACAAATTATTTTTCAAATCTTAATTTCGTCCACGCTCAATAACCAAAAGACGTGTTATAAAAGTCGGTAATTCCGAAGGGTCATCCAGAAGTTTCGAATGTTATTTAAAATAAAATTAATACATAATAAAATAATAAAATAACGTTAAAAAGTTTTATTGTGTCTCAAATCATTTTAAGTTTACTGTAAAGAACTCATGAAATAAGCGGGAGCGGCTAACTGCGCTCGAGTTGCTGGTTCACCTGACCGAAACGGGCCTCGAGCGCAAAGGGTTAATTAATAAAAGAATTTAAAAGAAAATAATTTATTTAATATATTTATATATTTATTTATATATTTAATAAATATACGTAGGAATGCATCCGTTAATGTGGGAAAGAAAAGCTTAGGTATTTCCACTTCTAGAGACATGGAGGGGCCCTCCAGTCAATGGGGTCGAGCAGACTATGATTCTCAGACATGGGGACCCCCTCGAATGCTTAGACTAGCCCTTGATAAAAATAATTTGTTTGCGAGTAGACCATGGGACAGAGCTTTTCCATGACAAGATACTGTGTCTTCTGTAGCAGCCACCCCCCCCCCCCCCCCCTCGTGTAAATACATCCCTTCTATTAACACGAAATAGTGCCGTAATTTCTTAAATACTCACGACATTTCTTCACATATATATATCGTAATTATTTTACAATTATAAATCCATAATCCCCATACTAAATTTGATGGAAACAAGAAATTGTTTACTATAAATTCTTTTTCATTTTCTTCTCTTACTATCTTACGTCCCCAGTCATATATACGATTCAATCATAAATGACAGAAATTAGAATGCAATGGATTAGAAAATACGTAAATGGTTTCTCCCATAATACAAAAATTATTAGAAAATAATAATACAGTATATCAGCCTGTACCAAAATTATCAGAAACCTATGAAACCGTGCAATCACGGTTTCAGCCTGACCAATACGCAACGTTCTCGCCTATGCAAATTTCACCGAACGAAAATTACTAACCATCGACGCAGTACCGTAGTGGCAATTTAATTCACCCGAGCCAGGAATAAGTAATCCATCGGAGCGAGAGTGAGAAATTACGCGGGGATTTTCCGTTCGGCGAACTTGCCGGGCATTTCTTCGACGAAACGATATCCCGCGGATCGATCGGGGAATAGAAGGAAAAGGATACACGGGTGGCGCGACGCGCGAATCAGAGGAGCAGGCAGATTGGAGATTCCAAAGTCTCTGCCGAAACGTGATCACTGCATTTTTTATCGGGCCCGAGGCATCGCGAGATTTCTCTCGGCCTCCTCGCATCGAGAGTCCGCGCGCATTTTATCACCCGGTCGCTGCAGGCGTTACACCTGCAGACCCCCTGTTTTCGTTCCTTTTTGCGGCCCGAGCCGGGCTTCTCTCCACCTCGAATCCTCCGTCTGCCTGTTCCCGGCTCCGCCGGCGAGGTTCGTCCTGCCAAGGAACATAGAATTTTTGGAAATTCCAGTGACAGCGACGCGACCAAGCGAAACGAAGTTGCAACGTGCAGGTAATTTTTGACGGCAGGCTTCTGCCATTTTCTCTTCAGGACAATGGGGTACCCTATCATATAACGCAGTTTAATCTATAGCACTGCAAACACCAGCAAAGTTTAGCTCGTCACGATCACGCGAATTTAATTATGATTAATACATTTTAATCGACACAAAATTCAAAAAATTTCCAAATTTTTTAACTGTTGGAATGCTAAAGACATGAGTCGAGACATCTTACATATAACCTCGATGTTAAAATGTTTTTTGATTACATACTAATGTATGATTGTGTACGTGTCGGTCGGTCACCAGCTAAATTATTTTATTCAAACGACTCAGTCTCTATGGAATCGTTGTACAGCACACACCGATTGAGTTATCAATTATAAAGCGTCATCTTTTTATAATTAGTGTTCCTTTCTTTTTAACTCCACTGCCATACCTAATTCTATCAGGAGTTGCAAGGTGCAGGTAATTTTTGACGGCAGGCTTCTGCCATTTTCTTTTCAGGATAATGGTACCCTCTCATATAATGCAGTTTAATCTATAGCACTGCAGAGGTAAGCAAAGTCTAGCTCGTCACAATCACGCGAATTTAACACTTGAACTGCCAACCCAGTCAAAATGACTGGTCCCAGAATTTTAAGAATAAAATTGGTATCAATTCATATTAAGAAAGAACTG